AAAAAACTCACATAAATTCTTGCTCAGATATAACAAATATCGATTAGAAAAGAAGTAGTGAGTGTTTCCCTGAAAATTTCAGGTTAGGTATTCAGAGACAAGTTTGTTTGTTCATGAAAAAATGGGTAATATTCCTCTTGAAAATCATGTCCATTGATGAGTAGCTACTATGTGATGGCAACATCCCTTGAAAGAAAACACTTTTAAATGTACATAGCTGATCAGTTTATTCCTCTGAATACTATAAAAATGATTTTCTTCTGAACTGTCTCCCATTTGAAATTATATTGATTTTTTTACCGATCTAATTCTCAAACCTCCAGTTCTGTACCCCATACTGCATGTCTTTGAGGAAGGAGCTGTGTGAGATGGAGGAATCCTGAGCTGACAGGATAATCCTGATAGATAGCTCTCCTTGCTCAAAGGCAACTCAGGAATTGTTTGAGATTTAAAGATTCTGCTAAATTCAAAAAACTCCACTGTAGATGTTTAAGCAAATCAGTGCATCTTTATAAAGGTGCTATTTAAAAATAATAGCTAATTAAGTGAAAACTAAAATCTGTTGTCATTTCAGTTTTTTCCCCTATAAGATACAACAATGCTAAATGTAGCTAAATAGAAATGACAAGCTATATTCCCTATGTCAGAGCTGTTTTTATCCCTAGTGTGAAATCAGAGATTTTCATCTCAACTTTGTCCTTTAACATTTTTCAAATGTTACATTGTGCTATTTTTAATCAGGGAAAAATGCACATGATTGCTTTTTTAAAGTCTCTATGCATGGTATCTCTACACTAGCCAGTATCATAATTGTTGACATACCCCAACATGAATAGCAAAATAAAGAAAGACCTGCTCACTCAAGGAAGCCAAGGGCTAAGCATTTGAGAACGTGTTTTCTGATGCCAGTTTCCTAGTTTTGATACTGTGTTCTAGTTATAAAAGATGTTTACATTGGGAGAGGCTGGCTGAAGGGTGCATGTGTTCTCCTCATACATTTTTTTTGCAACTTCCTGCAAATCTATGATTACTTCAAAATCATTCTAAATATAAGTAAAACAGCATCCCCTAATAGCTTCACTACAGATTCCTAATGGTTCTGGTGTATCCAAGGTCCAGGGCATGGGTAGGTCACCTCCTAGAGATTCTGATTCAGTATGAGTGAGGCAAGGCACAGGCATCCTATGGCATCTTGAAAGAGGGCCCAGGCCTACCCCAGTCCAATTCTGAGGCAGAGCCGTGGGCAAGGAGTAGGCCCTAGAAGGAAGTTGCAAAGGGGACACTGACCATCTACTGATCACCAACACTCAACCCAACACCCTCGCTGTTCTAAGATTTTACTAGGTTGGGATGAATCATTCCTGAGTTTTCTGTAGGCAGAGAAATGAAATCAGTGCTTGGAGGGTTCATGGGTGGACTTTACCATTACCCACTTGGCAAATAAGACTTCCTGCTTGGTGGCTGGAATGGAAAATGCTCTAGAACCAGCTCTGTCCACGTGAACTGAGGGTCAAAACAGACCCACCCGAGGCTACATCTAGGAACAATTGTTGGAATGTCAACCCATTCATAAAGTACTAAAAACAACCAAAAGCCTTAAAAATGTCTTGTCTGGAAAGAAAATAAATGACAGCTAAAAACCTCAAGACATGTAACTCATTAATTTCAGGTTTGAATAGTTTTCAGACAGGAGCTTTAATTAGGCTTGTCACGAGTCACCACTTGCAGGGAGCTTTGCACTGTTTAATAATGAGGTTCAGATGAATGGATATTGTTAGCCTTGCTTTAATGTTTAATGTTTGTTTTGTTTTTTGTAATAATCCACCTTTATGTTACTCCACTGACAGCTTGTATTTGAAGATTCTTGCTTTGTTCTCTTTTCTGAGTCTTTAAGAAAAAGAGGGAAAATTAAAATATCTGGTACATTTTACTTTAGAAAATCTCAGCATTACTTCTTTGTTAATGCTTGCTTCATTTGAGCCAAGTAGTTTATGGAAATCCTAGTTTTTAAAGAAAAACCACCATGTAAACCCTAACCAGTAATGCTTTTTTAAAATGGTTTTCTGTAATTAGAAGTGAATTTATTTGGATGGTGGAAATATTGGTTTATGCATCTGGTCTTTTCCATCCTGAGCTCTGATGCAATGTTAGATGTATTGTCATATTATTTCATAATGAGAAATATTTGATATGTGACTCATAAATTTTCCTGAAATAATTGAGGTTCAAGCCTGGCTCTTAGCATGAAGAGTCAACTGGGAGCTGTTTCTGTCACCAAGTTGTAATAGGCATGTTCCAGGGGTAAAGGATGCCAGTTCATTGCCTCCTCTGAACCTCATTCACAGTATGAAGTGTCATTGTAGAAGTAATCTCCTGAGAAAGGCCACCTGATACATAGGTACCATAGGGATACTGTCTCATTCTCATGCTAATGACAAAAACAATTTAATGTTTCTTGTGCTTAAGTTCTCTTAAGCATATTAAGGACATTATGGAGATAATTTTTATTGGGGTCATATAGCCTTTATCTTCTGATAACAGTTTTGTAAACTTATTGGTAAGTGTCTTTACAGGATACAAAAGCATTTTATTATGAGCAATTGAGAAATAGTAATTTACCTTGAAAATACAGCTGGCAAATTAAAGAATGGTGATACCATTACTATATTTGATGATTTTTCTGGAGAAAACCTTTTATCTAGGCTGTTGATTTAGGAACAGGAATTTTTTTAAAAGGTTGCAATATTCTCTTGAGTTCCATGCCAAAGATGCAAATAACTAAAAGCATAGGAACAAAAAATTTATGTTGAAGTCTTCTAAAGTGAATGACTGTGTATCCTTATATCTCAAACTATCCGCCATCTACAACTATGTCAACAGCATAGCATTCAGCAGTTCTGAGCATTTACCTGTTCCAGGTACTTACCAGTAGATTATCAAATGTTCAAAGCAAAGATATGTCACCAAGAGAATGCTTAGGTGTGCTCCATAGATTCTGTTTATGAATAAAGAAGCACACCTAATGTTTTAGCGCTATTTTCACCAAGAGTCCCTGAGTTAAACTTCAGTTAACAGGAATATTTTATTTTCCCCAGTGGTACTGGGTAGTTGAGCATTGCTGTGGACTCGGTATCAGGCGAGGGCCTCAGTGAAGCACACAGCACTCAGGCCTAGCACTGCCCAAGTTGAGACCTGCTCAGGATGCTGCATGCTTGGGAGTGTTTGAGAAGAGAATAGGTTCCAGCATGTTCTTGATCAGTTTTTACCATAAACTTGTCATTCAAATATAGAAAACTTTTGCTGCTAGGTAATGGTTTTCCAGAAAATCCCTGTGACGTAAGGGAGAGGATACTGGTAGGCAAAACAATAGGCTAGCAGGGGAAAGGGAAGGAGATACCTAGAGGAAAAGTACCCAGACCTGGCACATCTAGAGAAAGGGCTTCATTTTGTCATTCATTCATATGTGTGCTGCCTACCAGGGACCAGATACTGTTCTCATTATTGGACATAGAGGAGATGAACAAAGCAAGTGTTTGCTTATGTGGAGCCCATGTTCCACATAAGGGGACAGTGGGGTCCAATAGTAAATAAGTACTTAGATAATAAGTCAAATGGTCATAAGTGATAGGGGAAAGTAAAACAGGGGAAGGATAATAGGGGGTGATCTTGTAAGGGTAGTGTGTTGGTTTTCTATAAGATGTCAGGGAAGGTCATTGATTATGGTCACTCTTGATCAGACATGTGGAAGAATTAAGAGAGTAAGCCATGAGGGAAAAGGATTCCAGGCAGATGGAACAGTGGGTGCCAAGGCCCTGAGACTGGTGCGTGCTTGGTCCTTCAAGGGAGTGGCACAGGAAGTCAGTGTGGCTGAAACTGAGTGAGTAAATAGGGTCATGAGCAAAGACAAACCATGTCTTTGGGGGGGTTGGTGGCCAGATGGCACATAGCCACGTCAGCCATTGGAAGGACTTCCACTTTTACTCTAAGCCAGATGGAAAGCCACAGGAGGATTTTGGCAGAGGAATGACTTGATCTGACTTATGACACTGTTACTCTGACCTTAGAGGTATAAAGATAGGCACAGTTAGAGATTATTGTAATAATCCGAGTGAGAGATGGTTTAGGATTAGACCAGGTTGGTAGCTGAGTAGGAACAAGGATGACTCAACAGCTTTTGGCTCAGTCAACTAGAAGGATGGAGCTATCATTGACTGAAATGGGGGAAACTGGGAAGAGCAGGATTGGTAAGGTAGAGTCAAGAATTTGGCTTTGGGTGTGTTAGCTTCAGAATTCCCCAGATGCCTCTGAGGGCAGTCTGGAAGGTTGTGAAGTTGGCACTTGGATAGCCATGTCCAAAGTTCAGAGGGGATGCTGGAGAGCAATAGACAGTGTTCACTAGGGTACAGATGGTATTTGAAACTAGGAAATCCATCAATAGCACCTTGAGAGTGATCATAGAGAGAGAAGTGATGAGAGGTCTGTGTCCTGTCATTTCACAGAGACCAGCACATTGATTCAAAATTCAGTCAGCAGTTAATTAAGAGTTTTCCTAATGTCCTATCTCTCTTTAAATAGCTAACTGTGTGAGTGTACTCTTGAGACAGTTGCACTGTTTAAAATTCTTAAAATTCACTTTGAATTTCATTTTCTTCTATTGCTAATCAATCGCTAATACTCTTTAAAATCAATATGGACATTTTGGTCTGGAAATCTTTTTTTTTTTTTTGGAGTAGCATTAAAAAACAAAAGAGCTATTTGCAGCCATAGAAAATTGAGGTTTCAAAAGTAATTGTTACTCAAGATAGAAAGAAATAGTGTAAGCCTGGTCTGAATTTTTCATGGTTGTTTGTTATATATCTCGGTTTTGGTTGTAATTTCATGGTCAACAAATCTGGTGAAATTTATTTTGTGAAAAAATCAAAGGATGTACTATTAATACACTGCTCCTTCACATTGAACATTAAATTCTTTTTATTGTTGTTGCTTTCTGCCTTTTCTAGCCATTATTTGCATTTTTAAATGAAGAGAAGTTTAATGTGGATGGGTGGACTGTTTATAATCCAGTGGAAGAATACAGAAGGCAGGTAAGTTGATAGATTCTGTTATCTGGTATGTCTTGCATCTCAAATATGCATAGTGACACAATGTCATCAGTCATGCCTTCTGAGAACCAATAACATCCTTGCTAAATATCTTTTTAACGGCATGTAGCTCGTTCTATCACTGTGTAACTTATAAGCTTGTTCCACTGCCACATTCCAACTGTTTCCTTCCCTAAATGAAGAACATCAGTTTTGTGTTGTTTATGAAATGAATTGTATGTTTTGAGTCTAAAAAAATCAAACTTCTATACCTTACTTGGATTCATGTTGCTATGTATTTCTAATTTGGGGAGATTAACTATTACTGGCCATTAGATTTAAATCACATTCATTCTGAACTAAAGATTCAAATGAAGTCGTACTGTCTTCCTATAAGGCTAACTTCCACGAGAACACTGATGAGTAGATATTGTAATTATCATACTGCTCTCCTATGTAAACCTCACCTACATGCATGTTTATTTTCTGTAATAAAGAGGCATGATATTACATTGCTGCTGTTCAGGGACAAAGATCTCTCACAGCATTTTCGAGAAGACTGGGAATATATTATGTAACAAGAGCCACAATTTGACCTCTGGTATAACCAAATCTGTAGCTAGGAATTTCACAATGGATTTTTTCATAGTTCTTCTACAAAGCTCTTCACATAATTGGAAAATTTTGTTGAATGAACTTGAAGAATCAGATCAAGCCCCCATGGTATGTTTGAAAAGGCAGTGAATGTAAAACAAAACTGCAGAGCCATAGGCTTGAGAAGAGCCTTTAACCACTACTTATCCCACCACGAACCTGGGTTGATTTCCATTTTTTTTATATATTCAGGTGAGGTAGTATGCCCTATTCTTTCCATAGATCAGTTTGAGACTGTTGAGTGTGTGAAAGCTGTGTATACCTCTTATTTAATGATCTCTGTTCTGGACCGGCTACTGAGGTAGAAGGAAGACCATTAAAACATTTTGCATGTTTTGGAGACCTCTTTAACATTAAGTATTAAAATAATTTACCTTATTTCTGGAGCATTATTGACAATATTAAGACTTTTATTTAGTTCAAAGCTTCTAGCTTGGAAAAAAACAGTTCCTGTTTTTAAGATTGCATGCATATATGAACTGTTGAAGATATTTTGTTCTAGACTGCCATTATATTCGATCTTTTTTTCTTATAACTTTCTGATGGGACTTAAAACTCTCTAATTGGACTCAACATCAGACTCAACATCTGTTTGGTCCGTGGTACATAGGGCCAGACCTAAAGAAAAGGTACAATGTCTGTCCCCAAAGCAAACACCCACCTAGCTCACTTTCATGTGTGTATTTGTGCATTTGTGAGTATGGGGAGAGAATATTCCACCACCTCTGCATCTTGTCCATAGTGGACATAATTTTGTTGGGAGATGATAGATGGGAGGTGTCTTCTGAGTCTCCCTATCACATTAGCAGTGTGCTTAAAATGCAGATGACTCTGCTTCTCACACAACCTATATATATAAAGAGAGCAAATCATCAATCCCAAACAACTTGATTTAAGAAACTCATTGGAGGTGGCGAAATGAGCCTCCCCAGAGGGGTTTTCCTTTGCTTCCCCTCTGTGATTTTCTTCATGAGCCCAGCCTCTTTTCTCTTGGGAGCAGACTGAAGCATTCTGTCTGTTTTGAGCAGGGAGAGAAAGTTGCCTGATCTCTTTTCTATCATCAATTAGACAGAGATTAATATTGCATATGGTATTTTCTTTGGGGCAAGGATGCATGGGTGGGTGATGAACTTGGGTTTATCTGTGTTCTCTAAGTAATAATGAATATGTTGTCATGAAATAAAGGAAGACCTCAAATTCAAAACAATCTGTATTTACAAAAGATAGTTTAGAATCGTGGAAATCACCAGTGTTTTGTCTTGTGTTCTTACGTTGTCTAGATTATTGATTTGACACCCTTGTTACAATAATAGGTAGGTCATCATCACCTTGTGATCAGAGGCATGTGCACCTAATGCTAGAAAGGAGAAACGAGGTCCAAAGTCAAATCCAGAGATGAAGTCATGCTGTGCTCATTGAGGCTTTTTTTTTTTTTTCCTCCAGGGCTTGCCCAATCACCAGTGGAGGATAACTTTTATTAATAAATGTTATGAGCTCTGTGATACTTACCCTGCTCTTTTGGTGGTTCCCTATCGTGCCTCAGATGAAGACCTCAGGAGGGTTGCAACTTTTAGATCCCGAAATCGAATTCCAGTGAGTACTTTGATTAACATTTCTCTCAATGAATGCCTTTTATTCTGTAAGAACAGTAATCAGGTAATTCAGAGAAACACTTTTTTTGAAATTTCATTTCATTTAATAATTATCAAGTGCCTTCTGAATGCAAAACACCTTGTCAAACAGGAAAAAGATACAAGACAACACCTGCAAATCAAGCGTTAAAAAGGAACTGAGGTAAAGAGCTCTATGTGGGAGAGGGCACATGAACCAAGTGCTGTGTGGAAGGAAGGAAGGATGTACACAAAGGCTCTTTGTGGTGTCTTCTTTGTAGCACGATACCTGACCTGTCATAGGCTCTTTATAAAAGTCAGATGAATCATGATGGAAAGAACACACTATCTTATGTTGTAGAGTATATAAGTTCAACCTCTTACGTGGTTACTAAGATGAGCTTGTCCTACAGTCAAGTACAGATTATTTGTGTAACACATTATTGAACCTTGTTCACAAAGTTTCCTTTTAGTCCTTAAATATTTATGGATATGTCAGACTCCATTGTACATACATTTTGTTACTAAAAAATTAGAGATTTTTTTTCCTCAGTTATTTGTAAGGATCTGTCATAATAAATACATTGGGTTTTGTTTCAAAATAGTAGATTTTTAGAAACAAAGGTTGAAGAAATTAAGATTTAATGTCATCTTGCCTTAAACTATTAATTTTAGACATTCTTGTCCTTAAAAGGATTATTTGTGAGAAACTTTGGTATATTGTCAACCTAAAATGAGTTGTAACTTTTAAAATTCTCTTGATTCTCTGACGATTCATATCTTTGTGTTATATATTATACTTCAAAGTATGTTCTTCAGTTCATTTTATTAGAAATCAGTGCTCATGAAGCTAAGGTTACAGGTTCAGTAGGCTTATGCTCTGCTTGGAAATGTTTTTCTGTGCCAGAACCATAGACCACATCCTAGCTCTAGCCTGTTGTCTTGCTGGTACATGCTTTTACCCATAGGGACAATCAGGCAAGGGTAATGTGGATTGGTTTTGTCACTTATTCATTCAGTATTTATTGCACATCTACTATATCAAATATTTGTGTGTATGTATCTATGTGCATTTCATGGAGATGGGGCAGGAGAGGAAATGAGACAACTGTGCCCAAGCCACTGTGCCTGTTCTGTGATCTTGATCCAATGGTCCCCATCATAATGAATGAATAGGACTCCACTGCAGAACAAATAAAATCTCCTTTTTTATATAGCCATTTTATTAATTATTCTTACTTTGTGGGTAGTGGCTACCCATTTAATTTTCCTAAAAACAAATATTAAGGCAATGCTGCCCCTCACCTTTACATATTTATAATGCTCTACTATTAAGTATTATTTTACCTGGTAATATGCCCTTTCCAATATTCTTGCTAACTATCTGACTCTTGAATGTAAGTCTCAGAGTTTTCACTCAAAACCTATGTGTCTTTAGTGTGAAATCACTAGTTTTTGGTAGTTCTTTTTTAATATAATTATTTAATTAATTTATTTATTTTTATGAGGTTTTAAAGATCAAACCCTCGCACATGCTAGTCAAGCCCTCTGCCACTGAGCTATAGCCCCGGCCCTGATAGCTCTTTTTAAAAGCCCATATAAAAATATAAAGTGGTTGAAAAATAGCTTGTTCTTTTACATATAAATAAGATATAAAGTATCAGTGGGTAATGAAATTGTAGAAATGCATTAGTTTTTCCATTAGGAATACATATTCCTTTGTTCTCAAACACGTTTGTCTTGATTTTGTGGAAGTCTTTATAGGTAGTACATGTTCATTTCAGACATTTTAGAGGATACTGATAAGCAAAAGGGAGTCTGCCACCTAGTGAGAGCAATGATATTTTGATTATATATACTTCCAGGCTTCCTTCCATGCATTTATTTATTTATCCAAAAAATGGAATTGTCCTATGCTTCATATCTCAATCTATTTGTTCTTCCCAGCAATATCTCCTGATGACCTTTACATAGTGATAAATATGATCTACTCATATTCTAGTATGTAGATGTATTATTTAGTTGGTTTTCAATTGTGAGATACCTAGATTCTTTTTAACTTTTTGCTTCTTAAACAATGCTGTGGTACGTGCTTGAGTTGTGGCTCAGTGGTAGAGCATTTGCCTGGCATGTGTGAGGCACTGGGTTCAATCCTCAGCACCACATAAAACTAAAGAAAGAAAATAAAGGTATTGTGTCTATCTACAACTAAAATTTTAAAAAACATAATGCTGTGGTAAACATCTTTTAGTCACTAAATTTCTGTGTACATTCTTAGTTATCTGTTAATTCAAAATATTAATTTTAATAAGAATAATATAGTATCATACACTTTAACATGACTCATAGTAGGTGATACTGTGGAATGAGCATTATTTGTACCCATTCAACTCTATAATAAGTGTTCTTTAAAAAAATCTAATCAGAATGCCCCCAAAAGAATTTGTGAGGCAAAACAACTCTGGGGAATGGAATTTCCTAACATTGCACCACAGAGACAAGTGTGATGGGGGGAAGAGCAGGCATTGGCATAGGACAGTGTCATTGCCTTTGACCGAGTTAAATTCAAACTTGGTAAGAGATTTTCTCAAATAGTAAATCTCTCAAATATGTAGTAATTTGCTTTTTTAAAGGAGGTCTTATGTCTTTTACATCTCTTGTTACATGGGCTATAGGAGGTAGGCAGGGCAGGGCTCATGTTCGCACTGTAGGTTAGGAGGGGGAGGTTCAGGGCAGGTCAGTGCCTTTCTTGAAGATCCCTGGTCCTGAGCCTCTGCACACTTCTAGGCAGGGGATGCAGTGGTGTCTAAATGGCCTCTAGCATCGTGGAAGGACTTAGCTATTTGTTTCTGAGAATGAATGAATATTATCATTATATAATCTCTCCTCAGAAGTCCATTGTCATAATAAAACATCAATTGTTATGAACATTTATGTTTGCCACTTGCCATCATAGGGAGGCAACTTCAGAAATGTCTTGGTGTTTGATTTTATATTAAGTATGCCCAAATGATTATACTTCTTTTATTCTTGTGTCTGCATTTCATTTTTGGACATGACATTATTAGCTGCTGGCCCCGCCTCTAGAAGCTAATGTTGAGTCTGTGTTTAAACATTGCATACCTTAAGGGCATTACTCCAGTGTTCCCCGTAGCCCTCTGTGTTCACTGTTTTTCTTCCCATTTGACCAAAGAGGAGAAGGAAACCAGAGAGGATGTGAGTTAAGTGCCTGAGTTTAGAGCTGGCACATGACCCCAAAGCCCACAAAGCCCACATATTATACTATGCCATACTTCTGCAGTTCTCTGTTTTTATATATACATATACATACATAAATATACATATATATAAATACATATTTGTATCTATATATATGCATGTGTGTATATATGTATAGATACAAATATGTATATACACACATCCATTTATATCTATACATATAATTCCTTTTTAATTGACACATAGTAATTGTACATATTTAGAGGATACAGTGTGACATTTCAATATGTGTGTAGAATGTGATGAGATCAGGCTAATTGGCCTGGCATCTCAGAAGTTTATCATTTCTTTGTTCTGGAAACATTTGATATCCTCTCTAGTAGCTATTTTGAAATATTTTACTATTGTCCATTTTATTTATCCTGTGGTCCTAGAGAACATTAGAAATAGGCCTCTCCACTTTCAAGAGATCTACTTCCCTCTGAGCATTCCCAAGCTTAAGTGTACAGCTCAGTAGTTTTCAGGATGTTATGCTATTAACTCTTTTCATGTGTTTCATTTCTCATGCGCTATAAGCTAGGAAGCTGGGCATCAAAAGGGTTAGAGAAATCTTCCAAACTGCATTGTAAAGACTGGCAGCTCTCTTGGCAGTCCAAAATCTTTGCTTCCTTAAGTTTTCTTCTTCCTGCAATTGCAACTGTTGGGGAAATGACCTGTAGATGTGCATTAATATCGTGAGCAACATATTATAACAGAGACTATTTCCTCTGTCACTTATTGCTGAAGTTGTTTCCATATGATAACAAATCTAGTGCAAGCTGTGGAATTAAAATAATATCAGAAGCTTTCTGTTACCTTTAAGTGATAAAACTTTCTTGAGATAAACATGTAACTTCTTGGTGCTAATTAATAAGGGACCAGTCAGATAATTGGTTTGTCTGATTCTGAGTAGTCCTCAGTGTTCAACATGTGTTTCTGGGTACTTACACAGTGAAATTGCAAACAGATTCACTTCTTCATAATGGTTAGTATTTTATTTTTTTCATTTTTAATTATTTTCCTGAGACTCGGTTTCTTGATAGTTTAAACTTTTTGAAATAACCATAGGTGCTGTCATGGATTCATCCAGAAAACAAGACGGTCATTGTGCGTTGCAGTCAGCCTCTTGTTGGTATGAGTGGTAAACGAAATAAAGATGATGAGAAATATCTCGATGTGATCAGGGAAACTAATAGACAGATTTCTAAACTCACAATATATGATGCAAGACCCAGTGTTAATGCAGTGGCCAACAAGGTGAGTGCATTTGATGATATGATGGAAACTTAGCTCACATAGAGTGCAGTGTCTTCTTTGAATGGTTTTGCAATGGTATGTCAACACATGAGTTTATTGTTACTTTTAATTTATTTATTTTTTGAGATGGGGTCTTCCTATGTTGTCCAGTCTGGCCTTGGACTCCTGGGTCCAAATGATCCTGCTGCCTCAGCCCCCAATTAGCTGGGACTATAAGCCCATGAGTTTAAATTAGTAGTTAAGAAAACTAGTGTTCTTAAATAGAAAATAATATTAATTAAAAGTTTGATTAAAATCAAATGAAGTGCTGGGGTTGTAGCTCAGTGATAGTGCATTTGTCTAGCATGTGTGAGGCACTGGGTTCAATCCTCAGCACCACATAAAAACAAGTAAATTAAATAAAGGTATTGTGTCCATCTACAACCGTGTGTGTGTGTGTGTGTGTGTGTGTGTGTGTATGTATGTGTAATCAAAGGAAAATAAACTTTAGGTAAATAGGCATGTCTAGAACTATAAACTATAATGAACTTGAGTTTTGTCTTGAATCTCAGCCAAGTTAGAATGTCCTTGGAGCTCGTTGGCTGTGGTCTATCACTCTCGTTGTACTAGTGGGGCATCTGTAAGAAATTGTGGAAAGCTGCAATTATTAAAATCATAAATTTGTAGCTTTGTCCAAACTGTACAGACACGTACACTCACACACTCAAATATACATTCTTATTAATATAATTCAAGTAATGAATAGATCCACACATATGATTTTTCCTGTCACACATACATAGAAGTTTAATATTTTCAAACAAATCTTTGTCAATCTTTTTTTTTTTTTTTTTTTTTTTGCCTGCTTAAGCAGAATATGCCAAATGTACTTGAAATTGATTAGGGTCATCATTGAACATCAGTAACTGCCTGTTATTGCCTCAGAAGCTGCTGCATGGTGGAAGGCTGTTTGCTTCTGTACTAAATGGCCCTTTTACCTTTGATTTCTCCTTTTTGTTTTTTTCCTCCTATCATTGCCAGCTGTCACAAATGCTCACAGTGGGCCTGCCCTGAGTTACCCACTCTCATTCTGCCTTTCAGATTTATTGTTTCTCATCAGCTGTAGGCTTAAATTTCATCATCTTTAATACTTTGCTTATTTCAAGGTCATTTATATGGCATCTTCAATTATTCAGAACACACATCAAGAACTTGAAAGCAAAGCAAGTTTTTGATCAGCCCAGATAGATAGAGCAGCTTCCTAAATGGAATCTGTGACATCTTTCTCCACTAGGGTGTGCCAGACTGTGGGTGAGTGTGGGGCTCAGCTCTGCATTATTTGCACATGGATCATCTATGCTATACATTTAGTCCTGGGGAGACCCTTCACCCCATATGTACTTTTAGATAAGTGTTACCACAGTTGCTTTTTGTTTAGAAATTATTTTGAACTTATATGTAAAGCAATCAGGAAGTTTAAATAAGTCAATTAGGAATTATAATAAAATATAATATAATACAAATTATAATAAAATTACAAAATATTTAGGAAGTTAAATATAAGTGCCTTCTTGGATTATCCTTAATTTTATATATTACGCTTCTATTAACTTTCATATATAATTAGGTCTGAATACATGTATAAATGCAATATTTCCATGTATTTGGCCTGAAACAGATATTATGTGGCGTTAAAATGAGTGTTTAGAAAGAATATTTTAAGATACTAAAATATGTGAAATGCATGCTTTCATTATATTAACTCTATGACAACAGAATTCTTGAGTGCCCTTTTAACATTTGGGAAATGAGCCTCTGTTTCTAGTCCTCCTAGGAATGAATGGAAGCAAAATATTAAGGGGAAAGAAACTAAGCCTTAAAGAGCTCTGGATCATTCTTTCAGAAACCACACTTGGGTTCCCCTCCTCCCCAAGCCATATCTGTCCCCTTATTATGTACATCTATAGTAACAGGCCCTTGAACCTTCATACCATTGTACTAGTTAATTTAGGTTGTTTCTTTCTGTCAAAGAAAGGAAAACCAAAGAGAAGGTTTCAAAAGTAACCAGAGTTGGAGAATTTGAACTTTGGGTAACTCAGTTTCTGCTTGACTAATTGATTTTTACCCTTTCTGACTTCTGTTCTCTTTGACCCTAATTGCTCTTCCCTCATGGATATATAGAAATTACAATCCAAGATGTAGCCCCCAGCATCACATCATTTTAAATCAAACAAACAAACAAAACTCAGTTGTTGCTAAGATGTAGCACTAAGCCACTTCTATTTTTGTGGCAATACATCATGATGAATTAAAGTGGAAGCATATTACTGTCTCTTTTGTCAGAAGCTTTGGCAATGAGTAAAAAGTGTATTTTTCTTTCTTTATTTTTACATAACATTTTCAGTTATTTATGAAAGGAACACTAGTGTCAAGGATCTCTTTGAAAACCACCATAATTATTTAAAAGGCACACGTGCAGAAGAAGCAAGTCCTCTGCTGGGAGGCTGACTTGTGTCATTGTATTACATACTTTCAAAGCTATCAAAACATAGGCCGGCCCCTTCCTCCACACTCTCTGCTGCATTTTACAAAAGTGACTGCCAGGAGGACAGGAGTGCCTCTCCCGACACTCTTCCCTGAGGCCTGGATAACCAAGAGGCCAGGAAGTTGGTCCATTTGTCTTCTTATTTATTAGCTAACAGCTCTTTAAAAACAGCAAGGCAAAGGTTCATTGTCTACTTACTACTGATGCTGCTTAGAGCAAGTGCTAAGGAGATATTTTTGCCTGAATATATTTCCTTACCTAGAGTCTAGAGATCAAAGGCCTCTGGCTGGCTACATAGGTCTCCAGGTTGGAAGTTCAAGTGGGAACCTTCCTTCTACTGCAGGAAGCCTTCTCTATAAATACCCAAACTCCAAAACAAAACTGTAGGTTACTTTGTCCCTTCCCAACCTGGATACAAGCTTATATTCCTTCCACTGTCATAAAGAAAAAGAAAAGCCATGTTGTAGTGAAGGCACATTTGTCTGGGGTCTTCCTCTTTCCTCTTTGGCCCTAGGCAGATGTTTCCCTGCTCTCCTCCTAGAAGCAGTCAGAACTTAGCATAATGTTGCTTTCTTTTCAAGTCTCAGAACTTTTTCTTAAAGGGACTGAGGCCATGTGTCCTATGGCATTTAAAAACATTTAAGCAGAGTACAGCCAGGTTCCTAAACAAAACCACTACTGTTCTTTCTGTCAATGTGGAAAACAGACACTCTTCACCATGCTTTGGAAGTGAACCAGAGCCTCCCCTGACAAGTTAATACTTGCAGGTGCTATGTTAGGTAGTGGCCATCTTGTCACCTCTAGGAACTTTGTGTTATTTGAGATCACACTACATGCAGTGCTCTGTCCTTCATGTTTGCATAGCAGAGAGGTAGTCATGATGTAATAGAAAAGATGCAGCTTTGAAGGTACATTAGACTTAAATTCCACTAGCTTTAAATAGCATCTCTCAGTTTGTTTTCTCATTATTGGCCTGGGTCTGATTGACTTCAAAGCCTGTCATCTTCCTCTAACTTATCTTGTCCTATGTGAGTACTGTGACACAGCCAGGGGTGCCTGCTGCTACCTCAATTTCACTGCCTCCACCTCCCCAGACGAGTAAGTAATATTATAGCTACAAAGCTGATAAGAGAGGGGAAGGATCTTTCAGAACTTCTTTCCAGATCTAGAAGAACAGCCAGTAATTACAGTGTACTTTGAAGAATTTTGACTCATGAATCCCCAGAAAATTGCTTGCCTTCTGTCTTTTTTTTTCTAACTCAAAGTATGACTAATGTTTAGGCTGACTATTGGTTAGGAAGTCAAGTCACATCAATTATTTATTTAAATTGGAGGGGTTTGTGTTGAGATTTGAAAGAAAAATAACTCTTGAAATAGTTGTGCAACTTACTGATAGAATATAAAACCTAACTTATTGTTTTGTATGTCTTGTTTCATAGGCAACAGGAGGAGGATATGAAAGTGATGATGCATATCATAACATAGAACTTTCCTTCTTAGACATTCATAATATTCATGTTATGCGGGAATCTTTAAAAAAAGTGAAAGACATTGTTTATCCTAATGTAGAAGAATCTCATTGGTTGTCCAGTTTGGAGTCTACTCATTGGTTGGAACATATCAAGGCAAGTATATTTTAAAAATTTGTATATGTAAAATAAAACATTTGTTTAGTGGAACAGGATACATTCCTTATATATTTAAAAACTGAACAGTGAAACTATTCATAGTAGAGGACTTTACATTTGATAGTTTTATGTTTCTTTATAGTTTGCTTACCTAAATTAAAGATTTTATAACATCACTGTAGCTTATTTTTAGAGTTTGGAAAGATGTGTCTTTCAGTCTTGTCAATAGTAAATAGTTCAGTCTGTCATGCAGGCTTATTTAGGAATAACCAGTTTATTATCTAGCCATTATTGGGTATGGCCCCCATGGACCTTCAAAGAAGTAATTTTTAAAAAAATGATCTCAAATTGAATAATTTTAAAGAATTAGTTTTATACTTCTATAAAGTCCAATTCTTCATCATGATACAGCATCAAAGATCATTTTCTCTCTCTTTTTTTTTTTATTGCCAGCGATTGAACCTGAGGCCTTACATATGGTAGGCAAGTGCTCTAGCACTAAGCTACTCCCCCAGCCCTAAAAATCCTCCATTCTTAAAAAGTACTTGAAGCTATCTAAGGGAACTAACACTTGAAGCCATTTAATTCTATTTAAAAAAAGCTTACTTTAAAGAGGTAAATTATTAAGATGAATTGTTCTCTAGTGAAATTATATTTCCTACTTAATAGAAATTTTTAAAATTTTACCTCTTATACTTTCATTTTTAAAATTTTTTCCTAAAAAATGCACAAAAATTAATTGTAACAACTAAATGTAATGTGGTATACGGATGGGATTCTGGAACAAAAAAGGACATTAGGTTCAAAACTAAGAGGATCTGAATAAAATATGAACTTTTAAAATAATAAGTTAATAATAAACTTATTAATAATAAGTTAATAGTGTATTGATATTGGTTCAGTTGTTGTGACAAACATATGATATTATATGATACACTGTAGTTGTAACAACTGTACTATGTCAATAAGACTGGAAATTGGGTTGACTATATGGAAACTATCTTTCTATAGTACTTTCTAAGTTTTCTATACATCTAAAACTATTTATTTATTTATTATTCTACTTTATTTATTTTTTTTGAGATACTAGGGGTCAAACCCAGGGCCCTGCTAGGCAAGGTCTCTATCACTGTGCTACATCACCAGACCCTAAAACTATTCTAAAATTAAAATGTTTATTTTATAAAAGGGTTCATATGGCCAGATGCAGTGTTGCACATGTGTAATTCCAGGAACTCAAGAGACTGAGAGGAGGGTCACAATTCAAGGCCAGCCTCAGCAATTTAGCAAGGCCCTTAGTGACTTGATATGACCTGTCTGAATTTAAAAAATGAAAAGGGTCTAGGGATGTGGCTCAGTGGTTGAGTGCCCCTGGGTTCAATCCCTAGTACCAAAAAAAAAAAAAAAACATGGAGGTGGGGATCATGTGGTTATTATTTCAGACCCTGTTAATGGGAACAAGGAGAAGATATATTTCTTGCTTCTAGGGAGGTTCATGTGTGGTTGAGGAGCATAATATTCTACTATTCTAGTGTACCATGTGTTCCACACCAAATGGGCCTTCACATCAAAGTCAATGGAAGGAACAGGCCCTTTGGAATTCAGTGGGACTGGATCTGGTCCTTGAAGAGGAATAGGGAACTGCATCCTAGAAAAAGTAGACAGCCAAATCCAGAAATAGAAATGGCTGAGTTCAAGTTAGCAAGATTGAGGATTTCTATGGATGCAGAGACCTGGTCATGGGCCTTGACTGTCAACATAGAGTGTGGGGAGACTCATGAGGTTTGAGAATAGCAGTGTACTTTAAGAAAATGTTCTGGTAGCTACTTATAGAATAGACAGGAAAGGGAAGAACATGAAGACAGAGAAAACAGAACCATTTCAATAGTGCAAAGATAAGGGGTAATGATGACCAGTGCAGGGATGAGGGGACTAGAAAAGGGATAGACTCAAGATGTTGCCAAGTGTTTTAGTCAGTTTCCCCCTCCCCCACTGGGACCAAAAGACCTGACAAGAACAATTGGAGGAGGAAAGATATATTAGGGGGCTTACAGTTTCAGAAGTTTCAGTCCATTGCAGATTCTATTCCTTGGGACCTGAAGTAAGGCAGGGCACCATGGCGGAAGAATGTAGCAAAGGAAGGCAGGTCAGGACATGGTACCAGGAGGCAGAGAAAGAGAGACAGCTCTGCTCAACTAGTACTATACACACACACACACACACACACCCCAAAGGCATGCCTGCAAGGACCCACCTCCTTGAGCCACACCCTACTTGCCCACAGTTACCACCAAGTTAAACCCTATCAGGGGATTAAGTCGCTGATTAGATTTAGCTCTCATAACCCAGTCATTTCACCTTTCAACTTTCTTGGATTGTCTCACACATGAGCTTTTGAGGGACACCTGTTATCTAAACCATAACACCAAGGAAGGACTTGTGATTCTCCTAAAGAAATGCAGGACAATGTCAAGAGTGTGAGCCTAGCTGAGAGAATGATGCCACCATTTGCAGATGAAGGATAGTCCTCATCAGGACCTTGGTCGGCATATGTGCATTTGGGGTAGTGGCAGTTATCCCCTGGTGATGTCTAATAGGCAAGTGCTCATGCAAAGTGGAACTCCAAGGTTAAGGCTGACATATTGGTTTGGGAATCAGCTGTGAGGCAGTGTACTCATGTCAAGCCCTTTAGTGTGGAGGCTGAGGAAGAAGATGAATGAGAAGATTAGAATCCTTGTAACAGGGCCTTGATCACATTTGTATTCAGAACAGGGGGTGAGAAGTAGATCTCCGTGTAGGAGGCAAAAGAGAGATACTAGGGAATGAAGAGAGCGTATTGGAATGTCAAGAAAGGACCCAAGAAGAAACAGTGATACTTCAAAGTTTGTTAGGGAGATCCTTGATGACTTTGGAAGTAGACCTGCATAGGTGTCTAGCAGTGGAGTGGGGCAAGAGTTGAAAAATAGTGATAGTGAACATAGACTATTCTTTCAAAAAGCTAGATAGTTGGGGGTTGAGGATCATGTGATTAGGGGAAGGACTTTTCAAATCCCGGGAAGCTTCAGCCTGTTTTGTGGACAAAAGAAAAGATTCACTTTAGGCTTTTTTTTAAGGAAATAATCACACAGATCTGAAAAGATGGTTATACCAGGATGTTTATAGGAATAAAAATAAATAAATAAAAATAAATAAATGAAATAAATGTACTTAAATAAGCAGAAAAACATCTATCTATATAATTAAATACTGTATAACCATTGAAATTATGTAATCTAGTATATAGTACATAAGGAAATGCTCAGTATATAAAAGTGAAAAATGCTTCATAAACCCCAAATAAAGCAAAGATAGGGCTGGACCTGGTGGTACACACCTGTAATCCCAGTGGCTTCAGAGGCTGAGGCAGGAGGATCCCAAGTTTGAGGCCAGCCTCAGCAATTTAGTGAGGCCCTAGACCCTGTCTCAAAAATAAAACGGGCTGGCAATGTAGCTCTGTGGTTAAGTGCCCATGGGTTCAATCCCTGATGCCAAAAATGGGGCAAGGGGATATGTTTGTGTATAGAGAAGTTTAGAAAGGTATCTACCAACATGTAAAAATGTAGTTTTTCAGACTAAAGTGATTGTGTTTGTTTTTATTTTCTTTATCCTTTTGTTTGCTCCATTTTTCATGATTACGTATCACTTCAGTAAAGAAGGTAGAAAGACTTTTTAAAAAATATTTTTTAGTTGTAGATGGACACAGTACATTTATTTTATTTATTTATTTTTATGTGGTGCTGCAGATTGAACCCAGCTCCTCACACATACTAGGCAAGTTCTCTACCACTGAGCCACAACCCTGCCCTGTAGAAAGACTTTTTAAAAAGAGAAAGTCCAGGTATAGGAGTTATTGGAAAGGTGGGTAAGCTCTACTCTGGTTCAAAGTAGGGACCATTGAACAGCTCAGATGCCTGAGGAAATTAGGTAGAAGGCCATCTGCAAAAGATAAAGGTGGGAAGTTAGGACTTCAGAAATGTGGAAAATGAAAAAGATCCTTGTCAGATTTTATAGTTTTGTCCACACTGAGGAGGATAAAAAAATTTAAAAACTGTCACCGTCCTCTGATGAAATAAGAGGAAATCTGAGGATTCTCGGGAGTCCAGCTGGACATGCGTAACAACATCCAATGCAGTTTCTCTGGCATGTGTATAATATATATAACTGAGATTGAATCCCTTTTATTGTGAGAGAAGTATGTGGGGTGAGAGTTGCTCTCTGAAATTGCTTCTCAACAGCCCCCTTTTCAGAATTACCTCAAATTAAAATTGTAAACACGATTGCATGGAGAATACAATATGCCTAAACAAATGGACTGCACCAGTCGTTTTATAAGCAATGAGTTTTGTACAAGTAATTGATGGCTTCTCATACTTAGGTCCTCTAACCTTTCCTTCTCAGCACTACTTTGTCTACTTATCTCTCATTACTGTTTATGTAAAAATAATAAAGTTACATTTGTTTTAAAATTCTCTGCATGTCAGATCTTTTACATGGTCTGACTTTTCCTTGAATTAGTTTAAATAAATTAGTAGTTCAGTTTCCTTAAATTAGTTAAAATGACAGCAATATATATCTAAGCATGGCTGTTAGAATTTCGAGACCTCTATGGCATAAAATCTTAAAAACTCAACTTCATCCAGTCATAGTAGTATACACCTATAATCCCAGCTATTCAGGAGGCTGAAGCAGGAAGATCAGAAGTTCAAGACCAGCAAGGACAACTTAGACCCTGTCTCAAAATAAAATTTAAAAAGGGCTAGGCATGTACTTCAGTGGTAGAGTGCTTGTCTAACAGGAAATAGTCTCTGGTATACCCACCACTGCAGTCTCTAGTACCACAAAATACCAAACAAACAAACGAAGAAAAAAAAAGTCAAAATGACAAAATATATACATATGGCTGATAAGCACATAAAAAGATGAAACCTTCAAACACTGGTGAGAATGTGAGATGGTACAACTATTTTTAGAAATACTTTGTCAATTTCTTTGATAATGACACATATATTCTACCATAGAGTCCAATCATCACACTCCTAGCTATTTTACTAAGAAAAATGAAAATGCTATGCCCTTTCATAGACATGTTTGCAAAAGTTCACAGCATCATTATTTGTAATAAATAAATACTAGAAATAACCAAATGTCTCTGAGCTGATGAAGGAAAAGTAACATGTGGTTTCTTCATACCATGGAATATTAGATGCCATAAAAAGGAATGAAGCATTGATCCATGCTACACCATGGATGAGCCTTGACAACAAAGACTGCATAGTGTATGATTCCATTTATATGAAATTTCTATTAAAGCAAAACTGTAGAGTCAAGAAGCAAATAAGTGGGTGTCTAGGGCTGAGGGCAGGAGCATGGATTGATCTCACATGGTACAAGGAAACTTTTGGGGTGATGAAGTACAATAGTTGGATTGTGGTGGTGATAGCACAATTGTATTAATTTACTGAATCTTGTCATACTGTCTCTAAATACCTGCATCATCAAAAAAATGACATCATAGCAATTATTCATAAAATTTAGTGGTTCTTTTAAGTCTCAATTTTTTATCTTTAAAACACATATCTTTAAATTAAATATTTATTTTTTGAATAAGTATTCTTTCTGCAGCTTAGGAGCCAAATAAGAGTCCATATTTTGTCAATTCAAAGGCCAAAAGGTTATTTCCATTGTATCAGGCCTTTAAAGTCTAGAATAGACCTGTTTAGCCAATGATTAAATTTAATCCCATAATTATTATAGGTTGAATGGTGCCCATGAAATTTGTATGTTAGTCCTGAGCCCCAGTACCTCAAAGGACAACCTTATTTGAGATAAAGTCTTGTGATGATTTAAAAGATGAGACTTAAGGAGTAAGTCCCCACTTCAACATGATTGGTGTCATCATAAAAAGGGATGATTTGGACACAGAGGAATGCACACAGGAATAATGCCAGGTGAAGATTTGTGTTATGCTGCCACAAGCCCAGGAACTTACAGATGCTAGGAGAGTGGCACACAACAAGCTCCTGCATAGGGCAACATGGCCCTGTTTACACCTTGATCCCAGACTTCCGGCCTCCACAACTGTGAGACAACCAATTTCTATTGTTAAAGCCACCCAGTTTTAGTACTCTGTAATGGCAGCCTTGATAAACATAACAATCATATTCATGGAAATACTGTCAAAATGCAGTATGGCTCCGTTTTTAAACATCTAGACACACCCAAATGCAGTCTCTGTAGACAGACAAGATCAACAGATCCACTGGTTCCCAGTGTTCCATCTTCTTCACTCTCTTCTTCTAGACACTGATGGATATTTTAAAGCAGGACTTTGTATATAATTAGAACATCATATTTTAAATTTAAGCAGTATCTTAGCACTGCCTTCTGAATCACATATTTTTCTCTGACAGCTTGTTCTGACAGGAGCCATTCAAGTTGCAGACAAAGTTTCTTCAGGGAAGAGTTCAGTGCTCGTGCACTGCAGTGACGGATGGGACAGGACCGCTCAGCTGACGTCCCTGGCCATGCTGATGTTGGATAGCTACTACAGGAGCATCGAAGGCTTTGAAATACTGGTACAAAAAGAGTGGATAAGTTTTGGACATAAATTTGCATCTGTAAGTTAACAATGAAACTAATTTGGGGAGGGGTACTGGGGATTGAACCCACGGACACTTAATCACTGAGCCACATCCACAGCCCTTTTTATTTTTTATTTTGAGACAGAGTCTCACTAACTTGCTTAAGGCCTTGCTAAGTTGCTGAGACAGTCTTTGAACTTGCAATCCTCCTGCCTCAGCCTCTCAAGCTGCTGGGATTACAAGCAAGCAATACCATGCCTGGCCAATAAAACTAATATTTTAAAATAATCAAATCACTGCCATTTGGGATTGAAACACTAGTTGCTAAGCCACGTATTCAGTGCCAAAATGAAAATCTGAGAAATGCAAATAAAGAAACACTTTACAGGTTTCAAAATGTGTGATGCCGTAGGTTGATAAAAGTTGTTTTAGGAGACATGTTTATCCATCTGCACTCTTTATAGTTTCACTTGAAAGTAATAGAGTCTGCATAGAAATGTTTAAATTGAAATTTCACAAAAAAGAGAAGATAGATAACAGTTTACTCTGAACTAATATTATAGCTAATAAGGCCAAATATGTTTTATAGAAATGCCAGATTTTAGTTTAGGCTTTTTATTATTCTTCTCTGATATCATTTAAAAATCATCAAGAGAATCTCTTAAAATCCATATTCTCAGGCCTTGCTTCAAGATGTCCTTTGAATAAGTGTTTTAACCAGCTTCCCACTGATTCACAGGAAGGGAACCCAGACATCACTTTTTTTTTTCCTGATACTTGTGGATTGAACTCAGGGGCACTTGACCACTGAGCCACATCCCAGCCCTATTTTGTATTTTATTTAGAGACAGGGTCTCACTGAGTTGCTTAGGGCCTCGCCATTCCTGAGGCTGGCTTTGAACTCGTGATCCCCCTGCCTCAGCCTCCTGAGCCACTGGGATTACAGGCATGTGCCACCATGTCTAACCTTCAGCCACATTTTATCAGTAGTATGAATGTATGAATAACATCTTCAAGTAGAAAATATTGTGATTTAACAAGTGAATGCATTGTGAAGTTGCTGGTTTCATCTTTAAGAGCAAAAGAAGTTTTAATTCTAATGATCACATTTTGGGGATATGATTTCAAGCCTTGAAACTTTGAACTTAATCCCTTTATGACAGAAATAACTATGTTAAATGTCTTGTACCACACTGCTCAGGGTAATCCAGTCCTGTGTTCTATCTATAGCTGTCCGTAACTCCTACAAAACTGTAGTTATATAGAATAATTGTAGTAATAACATAGGATTATGATGTTTCACCAATTTTAGTGGTATTTTATAGTTTATATATCTAATTTCCATTATTACAAAACCTTCTATTATTTATCTATATTTTCACATAAATATATACTATTAACTATGATAAACTTGGCATTTAGAAGGAAGATTGCTGAATTGTATAGTCAGATTTTGTGGCTTATATGCTTTCTCAGTTTTATACCCATGAATTAAACAAGTCATCTTCACCAATTCGTTTCAGAGAATAGGTCATGGTGATAAAAACCACGCTGATGCTGACCGATCTCCTATTTTTCTTCAGTTTATTGATTGTGTATGGCAGATGTCAAAACAGGTAAGGAATATATGAGATTAAAACACAGTCAAGGGCTGGGGATGTGGCTCAAGCGGTAGCGCGCTCGCCTGGCGTGCGTGCGGCCCGGGTTCGATCCTCAGCACCACATACAAACAAAGATGTTGTGTCTGCCGAAAACTAAAAAATAAATATTAAAATTCTCTCTCTCTCTCTCTCTCTCTCTCTCTCTCTCTCTCTCTCTCTCTTTCTTAAAAAAAAAAAACACAGTCAACTTAATGTTTAAATTGAATATTGTGTTATATAATATCTGGGTTTTACCCCCAAAATATGCAGGACAAGATAAAGATGAAATAAAATTAGCCATGTGTGAATAATTGTTGAATCCAAGTGATGCCTATGCAGGGGTTCATTTTATTATTATGACTACTATTCATATGTCTGGAATCCCCCATAATAAAGTTTTCAAGTTTAAATTTTATCTGCATTATCTCTATTAGTGGAAGATCAATGTAACTGTCTATTATATTCATTCTATATGGGCATTTAGATGTAGGCATGTCTGCTAACGTGTAATGCCTTAAAGAATTCAAGTAAAATCCAGAAAATGAAACTCTTGACACCTTTTCATCTTCTCCCTTTACTTGATACATATTGAAATTTCTCAGTTCTGTGTAAAGTGCAGGCCCTGCTGTCCTTCTCAGAACCCTACAGTGTGGCAGCATTTGGTCCTTCCTACCATAGGTCTTTTTGGTTCTATAAAATATTAGTCTCAGCCATTCATGCCTCGCTTGCTTATTTGTTTTTGTCTAGTTCCCTACAGCTTTTGAATTCAATGAACAGTTTTTGATTACAATTTTGGATCATCTATACAGTTGCCGATTCGGTACTTTCCTATTCAACTGTGAATCTGCTCGAGAAAGACAGGTGAGTAAAAATGCTAATCTTTCTGTAAAGGTTTGCCAAGATGTATCTAGTCTGCCATATATCAAGAAGAATATGAGAGTTTGTGAGATGCTGACTTTGCCCACAAAAAGTAGGAATGACTTTAAAGCCATGCAGGTTTTCCCTCCCAAAATCCATGATAATGTTGATGAAATGAATTGTATTATAAAGGTCATAAACCTTGTAATAATAGGGGAAAGAAAGAGACATAGCAACAAACTTTTAAAAGCTGGAAAGCCCATAGATAAGTGATTAATAATTTAGCTTCAGAAAACCAAGATCTCACACCAACAGTAGAGAAGCCAAGAACCAAGCCACTTTGAATAGCATGAACCCTGGACAACTCCAGGTTGAACTCTTCCAGGTAAGTATCTGGGGTGAAGGAGGAAGATACCTTGAAGAGCTGTTTAGAATAAGCTAAACAAATTCCCTCCATTCCTCTCTGGAACTAAGGACTCTGGCAGAGGTTTCCTGCCAAGAGAGGGTGCTTGAAGAGGGTGCTGCAGTGTGATAGCCCCACCTCTCTTCCCTCACTCCCTCCCAGTGTTCTGGAACCAGGTCTTCATCATTCAGATGGGAGCACCAAAGAGCCATCTCTGTTGGTGAGGATGGTGAGACAATGGATCCCTCCTAAATTGCTAATTGGGGTGGAAAATGCTCAGCTGTTATGAAAAACTGGTGATTCCTCAAAAAGGGAAATACAGAATTATCATCTGACCCAGTAATTTCACTCCTAGGTATATACTCTAAGGAACTGAAAATAGGGGTTGAAACCAAAACTACACATGTATATATTTACAATAGAATGTTAACAGCCCAAATATCTGTCAGGATGAATGAATAAAACAAAATGTGGTCTATCCATATGATAATATTATTATAATATTATTCAGCCATAAAAGTGAAGGAAATATTCATATCACAATTAGGATGGACCTTGAAATCATTGTTCTAAGAAAAAGAAACCTGATGCAAAAGATTACATAAAATACAATTCCATGTGTGTGGAATTTCCAGAATAGATAAACCCATAGGGACAGAAAGCACATTAGAGGCTAGAGGCAGGGGAGCATAGGGAGTGCCTGTTTCGTGGGTATGGGCTTTCCATTTGTGGTAATGGGAAAATGTTTTGGAAATTGATAGAGGTGATAGCTGCATGACATTGTGAATGAACTAAAAGCCACTGATTTCTATAGTTTTAAAATGTTTTATTTTATGGTATGTGAATTTTACGTCAGTTTAAAAAATTATCTCTGGGAAAACTAAGTTTTCCCAGAAAAACAACTTGGAAAAAATAACAGAGGAAGGGAAACAGAGAAGAAGCTACTATCTGATATCCTCAGAAGAATAAGAAAAATATTAACATCAGAAAATAAGGAGATAGTATCTGGAAATAACATTTAAAGATCAGAAAAGAACTTTGAAATTAAAAACATGATACCAGCCAGGCATGGTGAGGCATGCCTATAACACTAGCAACTTGAGAAGCTGAGGCAGGAGGACTGCAAATTCAAGAACAACCTCAGCAACTTAGCAAGGCCCTGAGCAACTTAATGAGACCCTGTCTCAAAATAAAGAATAAAAAGAGTTGGGGATGTGGCTCAGTGGTTAAGCAACCCCAGGTTCAATCCCTAGTTAACACCCCACGAACAAAACAAAACAAAACAAAAAAGCCATGGTATCAACAGAAATGAAAAACCAAGAAGAGGTAGAAAAGGAAGTTGAAAAAAAAAAAAAAAACTCTCAGAAAATAGGAAATAAAAACAGGAAAAATAGAAAAGAAATGAAAAAAAAAAAAAAAAGATTAGTCTTGAAGGTCCAATATCCAAATAATAGGAAAAACAGGGGAAAAAGAGAAAATAGGAAATCCAGAGACAAGAAAGTTTAACTTAAATAATAATTTAAGACTATTTCAAAGAATTGAAATAGATAAGTCATTTTAAAGGCTCACCAAGTGCCAAACGGGGTGGATGAAAAGAGACCTATACTAAAGCACATCTTAGTGACATTTCTGATCACCAAGGACAAAGATCCCACAGCTTTTCTCTCAGACAAAATGAAAATTTCATATCTATTTTCATGTAACTGGCCATAGTCAAAACATGGGCACATTAAAATATTGTACAAAATTACTTTTAATTTTTGTGTATTTGGTATATAAGAAACATAATGAATTTCATGTTTAGACTTGGATCCCATCTCTAAAACTTACCTTAGTATGTATATGCAAATATTCCAAAAATCTGGAAAAAATCCTAAATCCAAAATAAATCCAGTCCTAGGCATTTTGGATAAGTGATACTCAACCTGTGTTTGCAAAGAAACAGAAATCAGGAAGACTTTGGATTATTCAACAGCAGCATTGGAAGTTAGAAACCGCATAGAGCATTGCATTCAGAATTCTAAAAGAAAGTGGCTTAAACCTAGCTTTCTATAGCTACCAAACTGTCAACAAAATTTGAAGGTAGAACAGAAATATTCTTGGATACACACAGCTGCAAGAGTGCCTCCCATACTATACTATTTCTCTGGAAGCAACTGAAATGTATGCACTCCACAGTAACAATAAGCCTAAATAGAAAAAGGCAGAGGGGATCTCAAGGGTGATATATTATACATGTATATCAAGACATCACATGGAACCCCATAAATATGTACAATTTTATGTGTCAGTTAAAATGTAAAGATTAATTTTTTAAAAAAATAAAAATAGAACTACTGTATAATCCAGAAATCCCATTATGAAGTATATATTGAAAATAAATTAAATTAATATGTCAAAGACATCTGTATTCCCGTGTTCAGGCACCACGATTCCTAATAGCCAAGAAATGGAAACAACCTCAGTATCCATCAATGGATGAATGGATGACGAAAATGTGGTACATATACACAATGGAATACTATTCAACCATAAAACAGAATGAAATCCTACCATTTGCAATAACATGAATGAAACTGGAGGACATTATGCTGGGGTGAAATAAACCAGGCACAGAAAAAAAATACTGTACGATCTTTTTTCTGTATGGAATCTAAACAAATGTTGAACCCATAGTAACAGAGAATGGAAGGATAATTACCAAGGGCTCAAGGTGGGTAGGGGAGAAGAGGAGATATTGTTCAAAAGGTGTAAACCTTCAGTTAAGAGATGAGTAGTACTAGAGACCTAATGTGCAGCTTGGTAACTAGAGTTAATAATGGCATATTATAGACTTGAAATTGGTTAATTGGGTAGATCTCAAGTGTTCTCACCACAGAAAAATGGTAACTGTGTTAGGTGACCTATATGTAATTAGCTTGATTGTGGTGATTATTTCACAATGTACACAAATCAAAATATTATGTTGGTTGGGAAAGTTGGTGCATACCTGTAGTCCCAGTAGTTTGGGAGGCTCAGGCACATCACTTGAATCTAGGAGTTCAGGGCCAGTCTGGGCAACATAGTGAGATCCTGTCTCAAAAATATAAATTTAAAAAATTAAAACTCAAGGGGCTCGGGTTGTGGCTCAGCAGTACAGTGCTCACCTAGCACATGCGAGGCCCTGGGTTCAATCCTCACCACCAAATAAAAATAAATAAATAAAGGTATTGTGTCCAACTATGACAAAAAATTAAATATTAAAAAATTTAAAATCATATATAAATTGCATAACCTAAGTAGAAACAATTTATATTTGCCAAGTATACCTTAATAAAGCTGAGAAAAAATATAATTGCTTCTACATAAATGTGTGAGACTTTTATTTATATCAACACTGTCAAACTACGTGTGTGGGGGCTGCTGGAGATTGAACCCAGGGCCTTGTGCATGGGAGACAAGCACTCTACCAACTGAGATATATCTCCAGCCCGTATATAGCTTTTTAAGCTTTGTGCATATATAAAAATAAAAACAAAATTCAAATAAACACAAAGCAATATACATTTTGGTACCAGAAACATGCAATTGAAGTTTTAGGTAGATTCAGAAGAAGGCAAAGTGATGCTATCATTATTATCATTCATATTAATGAAATACCTATACCAAGGAACCTTTAGTCACTTATTTTAGGGGTGTTCTTTTTAGTTTTTAGGTTTAGTTTATTTCTTCTCCCTTATTTGAAGTCATTACTAAAAACTGTTTAAAAATTTACTGTTGGTAATTTAATTCTTAAATTTTTAATTTGCCAGCTTCATTGTGTCCCCAAACTGATGGTCAAATTTTGGTAAAAAGCTATGAAAATTTTTATAAGATAATGAATACCAGGTTAAAAAGTGAAGACATTGTGATCAGTTATCCAGATGTTTTCAAATGTCTGCATGTCAATATGATGTAGATTAAGCATCTGGATGATTGATTATAATAAAAATGACTTAATGTCTAAATGCCTGCTGTCAAGTAGACATAGGTTAAGGATTTTGTAGTTCTAACAAACACAAAAATTTTAAAAGCCAGTGGGATCTTAGGATTATTTTTCTTTTCACTGAATTAAAAAGAGTGTACTGCCCATCTGTTCATAAATGTTTTACCTAGCCAGGAATAGTCTTCTTAGGTCAGTGAATTGCATTTAATGGTGCAGCATCCTGCACCCCTGTCTTCTGGCAGAAATAGTGGCTCTCAAGCCAGGCCATTATGTATGCAAATGTCTGTAAGTGGCTGTGAGCACTCACTGGCCCTTGACGCTTTTTGAGCTATTATGGGGATAATGTAAATGTGTGATTCAAGTTGATGCTGAACTGGATTGTCATGGGCTACAAAATGGTTTCTGTGATTGTGTACGTGTTTACTTAGGCTGTCTGCTTTCTCTCTCTTCTAGAAAGTTACAGAAAGAACAGTTTCTTTATGGTCACTAATCAATGTCAATAAAGAAAAATTCAAAAACCCCTTCTACACAAAAGAAATCAATCGAGTTTTATATCCAGTTGCCAGCATGCGTCACTTGGAACTCTGGGTAAATTACTACATTAGATGGAACCCCAGAATCAAGCAACAAGTAAGTGAAGTAGCACTATTAAAAGACATACTTGGAAACCAAATGTTTACTTTGAGATTAAATAATGTTATAATTATGAAGGGAAAAAAAACACTTGTTTTAAAATACAGTTTAATTTGTATATAATTACTAAACCATGGATGTTGCAATTAAATTCCTCTGCCAATGTGAATGTTGTAACTTTTTTGCTCTAATGTAAGGCAATATAAAGCTCCAGAACATCCCTGAGTTTTCACAGCCAGGGGTTTCCTTTACTCACTTGAAGTGGGTACACAACACATATACACACATGATTAGAAACTTCTTTAAATTGACTAGACTTGAATGATCCTGTCAAAGTAACAAAACGTTTTGTGTCCTGTGGTTCAAGTGTCTGTACTAGGTCAGCTGTCACCAGAGTGCTTTTTCCTGAGGGCCTCTACTTCTAAAATAAAGATACTGGGTCTGCCAGTGGATAGGAAATTCAGCTGGCCATTTGTCAATCATAAAATAGAAATAAGGATGTTTGAAGGGAAATGCTATATATTTTTATTAAAGACATTTATTTAGGCTTTCCATTCTCCCACTCCATCCCAAATCCACAGAAAAAAAAAAAAGCCTGTTTGTAGAGGCTCAGAAAACCTTCACTTACTGATTTGTTCTAAGCATTATAAATACTCAGTGTTTGTGATGGCTCTTGGTAAAGGTCTGCACTTTTTCTTGGGGTTAGAATGGTCCACTACCTGTTCTCCAGTGCAGCCTAGCACAAGCACAATCTTTAACCCTGCTAGGAGCTGGCCAGCGACTGCCAACTGCCGTGTCTCTCAGGTTGCTCATTCCACTCAAACACTAGCCACATACCAGGTTGCTCATTCCACTCAAACACTAGCCACATACCAGCCCGTGCTCTCCCTTCTTACTGGGGAGACACACCCTTGTTTCAAGTTCTCTGCCACTGCATGAAAGGCTTTTGCAGTTTGGTGATGGTTGAAATGTGTATACTTTTGAAAAGTGACAGGTTCCAGGGCTTGAGAACACTGACTTGTTTGGTCTGGGATTTGAGAAGTACATTGAGGGAATTTACTTAGCAGTAGCTCTGGAGTTTAGAATATCAAATAAAGGGTAAATGGGAATTTTTTCCAGGGTTCTAACTGCTGGTTCAGAGAACATGTTCCTTTCCTATTACTTTTTTAAATCAATGAGCACTGTGTTTGTCCTATAAAATAAGCCTTTTCTATATTTGTCATGGCTTTTTAAAAAAAAATTATTGGCAGTTACAAAGTATTGGCAGTTTCTGTACAAAGTCTTCTTTGATCTATTTGTACTTGGAAAAATTCTTGAAATTTAAGAAATTTAGAGCAATTCATTTCTCACTACAGAAAGGTAATGATAATAATTGTATGACAAGTCAAGTTTGGTTTTGGGGTGCTATTTTTTTCCTCTTTCTGAAAGATCAATTTTGAAGGCATATCATTAGAAGAATTTCTATAATATATTCATCCCCTTTATTTCATAGGGTTTAGTAAAATGGAACTGGGCCAGCTAGAATTGCTCATGTTCTGGTAGAGGTTTTTACTTAGAGACAATCATTGCTTTATATTATGTTCCATTGACATTTACTCAAAAATGAAAATGTCCCCTCTATGTAATTTTCTGAATGTGAAGTATCCTACATACATCTTGATGTCCTCAGGCACGTAATATATATTTTCATCCACCCAGTATTGAATATTCCTATGTGTCAGGCACTGTGGTATTACAGAGATTAGGAAGAGGTGGTCCCTACCCCCAAGAACCCCCTCGGGTTAGCGGGGGTAGCCAGTAACATAAGCTGATGATTATAATGCACAAGGATGAATTTGATAATAGAGGTATCAATTAAGAACCTCAGATTTTCTTAAAGATCTGCTTATGTAGAACATTATTGCATACAGAAATAGATCAAAGTAAAATTACATGACTTTTGAAATTATATAATATAAACGTATAAGAACGTACTTAAGCACTTGAAAATTAAATCATTATTTGATTGTGTGACCCAGAAGGTATACCAATAATTAGTGGACACCTAAAATAGTCACAGCACAATGGTGTACTATCAGCATTGAAAAGACACAAAATAATATACAGCCTTTCCCTAGCTGTTAACTTTGACAAAGACAGGGTTATTATGTCTTTAAAAGCAAAATCCACCAACCCTGCTGTGACATGCAACTCAGCAGAGCTTATGGAAAGCCCAGTGCTTCCATTTGATGAGCTATCAATAAGAAGATTTGATACTTTTGATATGAGAAAATTATTCATGGCAAAAGTAAAAGTTTGCATTTGTCACATAAACCTGGAATTTAAGCTCCAATGGAGCCTCATACTGTGCTTTAGGAACGACTGCATTCTATGTAGCTGTTAATCAGGGTTCCATTGGACGCATTCAAATTTTGTAGTGGTAACTAAAGGATGAGAACAGGAGCAGTCAGATATTAATAGACTGACCTATATAGTATTTTCAGTTAGAAAATACTAAAATAATAATTCAGTTAGAAAGTTAAAAGGCATATGGACTTCAAAAGAAAAATGAAAGAATTTTGAAGCCTAAAAATACTTCCATAACTAGCTGATGGCCTGTCTTCTTTACCATGCTGAGTTGGCACACTTTGCTTCATAACTCATTTTCCAGGTCAAAAGTTGAGGCGTAGCCAGGCGTGGTGGCACATGCCTGTAATCCCAGTAGCTTGGAAGGCTTAGGCAGAAGGATCGGAAGTTCAAAGCCAGCTTCAGCATTTTTTTTTTTTTTTTTTTTTGTGGTGCTGGGGATTGAACCAAGAACTTGTGCATGTGAGGCAAGCACTCTACCGACTGAGTTACATCCCCAACCCCAGCCCCAGCCCCTCTTTTTTTTAAATGACTTTATTATCATTATTTTATTAATAATAATAATATAATAATAATAATAATAACCTAAGGGTGCTTAACCACTGAGCCACATCCCCAGCCTTAATTTTTTTTTTTTGTTTTTGCAGATAGACAGAATATTTTACTTTATTTGTTTATATTTATGTGGTGCTAAGGATCGAACCCAGTGCTTCACAAACATGCTAAGCAAAGTGCTCTGGCACTGAGCTATAGCCCCAGCCTCAGGAATTTACCAAGGCCCTAAGCAACTCAGCAAGACCCTGTCTCTAAATAAAATACAAAATAAGGCTGGGGATGTATGTGGTTCATCAGTCTAGTGCCCCTGGGTTCAATCTCTTGTACCAAAAAAGAAAATTGAAGTGTAATACTTAAAGTCACCTGTCTTTAAATTGTTATGTCCTTTAAGTTGTTTTTGTTTATCTCTAGGCTAATGGCATCCACACATTTTGTACCCATTACTTGACTGAATTATCTTTTTATTTCTAATAGTTTTTCTGTTTACTCTCAGGTTTTCTAATTATACAGTCATGTCATCTGCAAAAATGACCGTTACTGCTGATTTCTTTTTTTATCTAATTACTTGTCACAAACTAATTCTAATCCTCAAATTGACTCTAAATTCATATGAAAAGGGGAGGCTTTAATAATATAACTGAGACAATTTGGGAGTAAATTAAGAACTTGTCCTACTGTACATCAAGATTTATATGGAATAAAATTGTGCCCAGAAACATACCCATGTGGATGTGGTGATTTGGTATAGTAAAAAGGTTGCTTCGTAGCGCTCAGGGGAAAGGACAGAGTATTCATTCAGTAAATGGTATTGGGACTGCAAAAACTACAATCCAGAGCTCCTGAAGCCCTGCCCTAAGATCTCGTCCTCCTATCTTCCCCATTTCATTTGAGAGCAACTCCATCCTAGTTGTTCTAGCCAGAAACCTTAGGGTTATCCTTGACTCCTTTTCTTTCTCACACCCCAGGTCCAATCTGTCAGGAGAGCCCATTGGGAGTCTAAACAGCACCCTGGTGTGGCCACACGGTGGCAGTAGGCTTCTAGCAGCTAGCTGCACTCCCTGAGGCTACCCTTGCTTCCTTTGACTCTCCTCAAAGTGGCAGCCAAAGCAGTCCTTGTAAAGCAGACTTCAGAGTATACCATTATTCTATTCAAAACTGGTCAGGTAGCTGCTTACCTCACCTAAAGTCAAGGCCAAAGTCCTTACAGTGGCCACTGGGGCCTTATGTAACCCTCATGTCCCTCTCTGATCTCCTAGCCTCCTCAACAAGAGCTCTTTCTTTCACACTGTGCTTCAGCCACACTGGCTCCTGCTCTTCCTCAGACACGCCAATATATACTTGGCTCCCTCCTTCATCTCTTCCAAGACTTTCCCCAAAAGTCACCTTTGTCTTCAGTGTGACTCACTCTGCACACCCAATTTAGCGTGTAACTAGTGGCCCATCCATTCCCCCACTCTATTATTCTGCTCTACTTTTCCCTAGTATTGATTATCTACCACCTCATGCCTAGTATTGATTGCCATCAAACATTTTCTCTCTAACAATTCACAGGATTGTTATGTTTGTTGCTTGTCTGTCTCCCCCTGCTGGAAGATAAATGCCATGAAACAAACTTAGTTTACTGATCCAAGTACCTAGAGCAGCATCTAGACCTCAATTGGACACAGTAATGTGGGCGAGGGATATTAATGAGCAGCATTTACTGGGTATTGCATGCTACACCAAACATTCCTACTATAAGGCCATATATGCATTTCTGAAAAACCTCACATTGCAAAGTCTCTGACTAAAAATAGCAGTGATTATGAGAAGAATAGGATTAGGAGGAGGAGACCTCTGCAAACCTCTGGACCTTTGTAATCAGAGCACTAATGGAGGTAAAAATCCCAATAGAAATGTGGGTGCAGTTACATTTGCACCTAGTCTGAGTGGATCCACTCTTTGGCGGTCAGTAGTGGGTTGAATGGCGCCTCACCCTAAAATAGATATATCCACCAGGAAACTATGAATGTGAAATTATTTGAGCTAGGGTACTTACAGTTATAACTAAGTTTAGAATCTCAAAATGAGATCCATCCTTGATTTAGCATGGGGGCTATATTCCAGTGATGGTGTTCTCATAAGACAAAGAGGGGAAGATTTGAGACACAGACACAGAGGGGAGAAGGCCTCGAGAAGACAGAGGCAGAAACAATAGGGATGCTCTCATGAGCCCTGGAGCTATCAGAAGCTGGATTAGACAGGGAAGGATTCTCCCCAAAGATCCTCCAGAGGGCACATGGCCCTGCTGACACCTTGATTTTTTGGTTTCTGCCCTGTAAAACAATGATAGACTCAATTTCTGTTGTTTTAAGGCTCTCACATTTGTATCAATTTGTTAGGGCAGCTACAGGACACTAATAGCAGTCTTAAGCCCCCAAGGCCCAAGCTTGCTTCTCTGTATGCAGGGCCTGGAGCAGGCAATGTTGCTCCTAGAGACTGCTCTCCTCAGCCTTCTTTGTCACTGCATGAGTTTCACAGATTTCTCATTGGTGCTCACAGCTTCAGCACATAGTTCAATGCAGTGGAATGTAGGGCAATTCTGGAAGCCAATACACATGCTAAAGAAAGGTACTTGAGAGACTTTGGGGGCTTTTTCTTAATGTGTTCTTATGTTGCTCAAGCCTTCTATAAAGCTTGCTTCCAATTGCTTGAAAACATTAACTTTGTGGGAAGCTTTTCTGTTGTATACCTTGACCTAGATACTGATTACCTAGGTATATACTTGTATAGAAATCATTGTGCTGAAAATTTTAAGATTTGTGCGTTGTGTGTGATTTATAGCTCAGAACAAAAGTTTCAAAAATGCTCAGGCTGGGGAGAATCACATTATGCTTCAGCATGACTTCTGCCTTTATATGAGCATGATCCCCTATTTGCTCACTAAAGAAAATGTAGCAAAACAGACTTTATTTAACTGACTTCACTTTCACAACAATGCTGGAAGACCATACTATTTTTAATCCCCATTTTATAGGTAGGTTGACAGCACCCAGAATGTTAAGGTACACAGCTGGTAAGAGACAAACAGGATTCACAGCTTTGCTGGGGAGCATCAGAGCTGTTAATTAACACGGGCAATAAGCAAGTGGAAAGATAGTGGAGCAGAGCAAGGCAAACCCACTCAACTATCATGACACACCATGCTCTGTTCCCCATGTTGGCAAAAAAATAATCTTATGCTCCCAAGTTCTGATGGGGAAACTGAGCTATAGGAACTGCCAGGCATCACTGACAAAAGGAAGAAGTGATATCCGCACCTTGAGGGCAATGAAGTTGAGGAGACCATACTCTATTTCTCATCAATCCCACACCTAGAAAGATTCCTTAGAAAAACAATTGTTTATGTGCATCATGTGTACTACTGAAGAGCCCTCTAAATCACTGATAATCCTTAGCATAGCAGTGGGATAGATCTACTGGTTTATTCCTTCCAAGGGACTCAATAAAGTTTGAATTAAAAAAACACAATGTTGGCCAGGTGCAATGACACATACCTGAAATCTCAGCAGCCCTGGAGGCTGAGGCAGGAGGATCAAGAGTTCAAAGCCAGCTTCAGCAACTTAGCAAGGCCCTAATCAACTCAGCAAGACCCTGTCTCTATGTAAAATATAAAAAAGGAGTTGGGGATGTGGCTTAGTGGCTAAGCACCCCTGGGTTCAAACACCAGCACCAAAAAAAAAAAAAAAAAAAGAAAGAAAAAAAAAAACAATGTTGGATCAGAATGTTAATTGATAAATACACAGTAATACCAGTGATGTAACCTTTGATAAGTATAAAGTAATGCCTGCTGCATCTTATATCTAGATGCTCACTTAGAGGAAAAGTGTCACAAACCAGCACAGGAAGGCAGGCACATTCAAGAAGGAAAATAGTTATCATTCAGAACAAAAGAGGACAGTGGGTCTGGGACAAGCAACATGGCAGACCAGAGCTTTGTCCAAGTTGATATTTTTTAAAATGGCAATGCATGTGTGAGGAGATATGTATATTAGTTATTTCTTGGTGATGGTGGTGAATAGCTGGGTGTTTTTAGGATTCTGGTTTACTTGTTGGCATGTGTGAATGGTGCAGCATTTAAGTCAAGTACACATGTATGTTAACCCTTGAGATAAGGGTTTCTTCAGAAGGCAGTGGCTGTGGCAGATGTGTAGGCAGATGAGTTTTTGTGCTGTAGCCAGCCTAATGCATAACTAATGTGTGTGGTTCTCTCCAGCAGCCAAATCCAGTGGAGCAGCGTTACATGGAGCTCTTGGCCTTACGTGATGATTACATAAAGCGGCTTGAGGAATTGCAGCTTGCCAATTCTGCCAAGCTTTCTGATCCCCCAACATCACCGTCCAGTCCTTCACAAATGATGTCCCATGTGCAGACTCACTTCTGAGGGGGAACCCTGCTGGCACTGCCTTTGAGCTCTGAATAAAGGAATTAGTTGACTTTCATTTTGGGCATCTGTACAAAGTAGATTTAAATATTTGCCTCCAGGTAGAACTTAAACTAACATTATCTTAAACTCTTGAATATGTGCCTTCTAGAATACATATTACAAGAAACTACAGTGTCTACATGGCAATCAGAAGAAAGCCAAGAGGAGGAAAATCTGGAAAATGCTGACACCTTTAAAAAGCAGTTTTTGAAAGATAAAATTTAAATTTAATTTACCTTTATAGAAATGCTACATATACAATATGTATTTTTGATACATAAGATACATATAGAATATGTATTAAAAATTGAGACAACATTATTTCAGTCAGAGAGAGAGAGAGATTTGTGAAATGGATTTTCCTCAGACTGCTTAGAATAGTTGCTTTGGATTATCCAAAATGAATCCAAATATGAAAGATGGGTATACTGCCAAAACCAAATTGAGCTCAGCTTCCGCAGCATTATTCAAAAGTAAGGTGTTTAAATAATTGCCAACTTTTATATCATCATAAATGGTGAATTAAGAAGAAATAGCTATGTAGATGAGTTTTTCCTTATTTTGAAATTTTGAAATATTAAAGGTTTTCCCCTAATTTTCAAGAGAAGTGTATTTTTATATTTAAAAAACTAGTGGGGCCCATTAAATATGATTTGATTTTTCCTTTACTTTGCCAGTTCTATTTTCTAAATTCTTTCATGAGCTTGCCTAAAATTCTGAAATGGTTTTCAAGTTGTGGAAAATCCTATATAGAACTCTATTTAAGGATGCCAGGTGCATTCTGCTGCTTTAGGTGAATATTTCAGCAAACGTGGCTCTAGTAAATGCAGCTTATCTGCCAAAATGTAGGTTCACCATCTTGGATATATAAGCTACTACTAGAGCATCATTCTTTGAGATAAATGCCCCAGATGTACATTTGTTGAGCGTATTCTTCAAAGTATTATGTTTATGTATTTTGGTTTAAATGGTGTTGGGTTTCCCTCCCCGCAAGTGTGCATAAAAACTGGTTCTACAAATTTTTACTTGAAGTACCGGGAAGTTTGCTTTTTCAGGTTTTTTTTGTTTTGTTTTGTTTTATTGTATTAAGTAAAATTTTAAATGCACAGTTCTATTTGATATATGAACTAATTCATTTAGTAAGTATATTTGTAAAAGCTAAAGCTAGAGATAAAACAATAAGTTTTACAATGATTTGTAAAGGACTATTTATACCTAATATGGTTTTGTTTTCAATGAATTAAGAGAGATTAAATATATCTTTGTAAATTATTTTATGTCATAGCTTAATTGGTCTACAAAATAAGACATCTCAAATATAGTGGTATAATGTATGAATTTTGTAAGTATAAGCAATTTTATTAGACATTCTCTTGCTTTTTGTAAACGCTGTAAATATTTCATAAATTAACAAAGTGTCACTCCATACAAAGAAGAAAGCTAATACTAATGGCTTAAAGGATTTTGTGAAATTTGATGAAAACATTTTCATGGCAAAAAAAAAAAAATGACTAAAGACCTGCTGTAATAAATACATTAACTAAAACCTAACACTCTATTTTGAGGAATGTGACTGTGTATGTGTTTGAAATGTGCATGGTTCCCATCTTATTTTCTGATCTATTTCATACACTCTTTTTACTAGCAACCATTGTGTCCATTTTTGACTGGTAAGTGGCCAGCTGAATTTCCTATCCACTGGCAGGCCCAGTATATCTTTATTTTAGAAGTAGAGGCCCTCAGGAAAAAGCACTCTGGTGACAGCTGACCTAGTACAGACACTTGAACCACAGGACACAAAACGTTTTGTTACTTTGACAGGATCATTCAAGTCTAGTCAATTTAAAGAAGTTTCTAATCATGTGTGTATATGTGTTGTGTACCCACTTCAAGTGAGTAAAGGAAACCCCTGGCTGTGAAAACTCAGGGATGTTCTGGAGCTTTATATTGCCTTACATTAGAGCAAAAAAGTTATAGGATGGAGATGTCTAGAGGACTATAATTAATAATATTGTATTCTGTATTTTTGATCAAGGAATAGATTTTAGGTATTATTAAAAACAGGTAACTATGAGATGAGGAATATGCTAATTTGCTTGAGTATAATAACATTCCCTATGTGTGTACCAAAAATATCATGTATGCCTTAAGTATATAGAGCAAAACAATAAAGATTCTATAGAGAGGAGAAATAGGAATTCAGCCACATCTGTAATTAGGGAAATATACATTGGACCCACAGTAAGATATGAACCCACACCCATGCTATCCTTTTAAAAGTCTGGCAGCCCTAAGCATTGGCAAGATTGTACACCAGTAGTAACTTCATACAGTTCTTTGGAGAATAATTGACATTATGTGGTAAAACTGAAGTTCATACCTACCCTAGGATCTAGCATTTCTACTCTTGAATATAGAGATGGCCTGGAGAAATGAGGAACTCTGCACTAAAAGACATGTACACAAATATTTATGGTACCATGTTTGTCATAGGTAACAACAAAGTGCACATATCTAGCTACAGTGGAACAGATAAATTGTGGCATATTCAGACAATAGAATACTGCACAACCAGGAAAAATCATTAAACCACAGCTATACACAACACAGATAAAAGCATTTGATTCAAAAAAATAAGGCACAAAATAATATATTTAGGTGGGGTTGGTGGCTCAGTGGTAGAGTACTTGCCTAGCATGTGAGAGGCACTGGGTTCAATTCTCAGCACCGCATAAAAATAAATAATAAAGGTCCAATGTCAACAAAAAAAGATTTTAAAAAGAATATATTCAATAGTATTGCATTCCTATAAGTTCAAAAATGAACTACATTCTCATTTAGGGATGTATGGATGGCAAAACAACAATGAAAAGCAAAGAAACCACCACTAGAGAAAGAAACAGTATGAGCAGAAGCATCTATCCATTAAAGGGGAGGCAGTGTGTGTAGAACACAAAGGAAGTTGGTACTCTTGGATTGCAATGTGTCCAGGCCTGGGAAAGATGACCTAGAGGTAGGAAGGGGCCTGTCATACAGCAGCAAGGCTGGGGAGGGACAGAAAGGCCAGTTTGAGGCTACTGTATTTGACCACACCAGGGGGACTGAATCTGGAAAACAGACAAGTAGAGATGTAGATTGAAAAAAAAATCAGTGGGAGTTTATAACTGGGAAGAATAGAAAGAAGTAACAGAGGGAGGCAGAAGGACAGTCAGTGTCAAGAGTCTTGCCATGTGCTGACTCTCCTGGCCATGGGCCAAAGGGCACAGCAGCCTCCAGATGCCAATCAAGGACAGGAGACAGATTTTCCTCCACAGTCCCCTGAAGAAATGCAGCCCTGAAGATACCTGCATTTTAGCCCAGTGAGACCTGTGTTCCAACTCCTGACTTCTATGTTGTCCAAGCTGCTATGTTTGCAGCAATTTGTTAAAGCATCCACAGAAACTAATAGAAGGAGGATACAGAATGTGAACAGGCCCAGATCTGATGACCTCAATGTTCTTAACATATCTCCCACTACAGTCCCACATCAGAGGCTGTAGGAAATTTGCACTGGCCCAGAGCAGAGAGGGAAGAAGATTAAAATGTCCTAAGAAGTGGTGCTTACCAGGGAGTGAGCTCTGGCATGTAGTCCAAATTTACTTTACCTCAGTAGTTCAAAGTCCTCTGGCACCAGGCTTATGATGCCCCCAGATGCTTTCTGGAGTATCATCACACCTTCTCCCCAGAATTCTAAAAATTCTCACAGTCGTTTTCTGAAGAAAATTAATAGCTCACAGAAAAACAGCCAAGGGGGGAAAAAGACTTCAGGACTTCCTTCAAATTAATTATCAGGCACAGGTAGTCAGTTTGCTGGAGATGGCACACCTGGAATAATGGGCCAACTATGAGCATCCCTTCCCAATCCTGTACTTGGTGGTATCAAGATGGCACCTTGATCCAGGGTAGAGAGATTTATGCCACAGAAATCAGAAATCACTACAAAGATTGGGGTTTTTTTCCCCTTCAAAGAGCTGATAATTAAAAGTTCCCCTAGAGCATCACTGGCTACAGGTTATAAAATCAATATGAATATTATCTTTGAAGAATAAAACCTAGATGACCTTGGATTTGGCAAAGAATTTTCAGACACAACACCAAAAGTATAATCCTTGGAAGAAAAAATTGGTAGGGTAGACCATACTAAAATGAAAAGTTTCTCTGAAACACTTTCAAGAGAATGACGAGATGAGCCACAGACTGGGAGAAAAATTTTTGCAAAACATGTCTGATGAGAGCCTGTTATGCAAAATATACCAAGAACTCTTAAAACTCAATGAAAAGAAAGTAACCTGATTGTAAGGGGTTTTGTTGTTGTTGTTTTTGTTTGTTTGTTTTTTGGTGGTGCTGGGGATTGAACCCAGGGCCTTGTGCATGCAAGGCAAACACTCCACCAAGTGAGCTATAACCCCAGCAACCTGATTTTAAAATGTGCAAAAGTTTTGAGCAGACACCCCACTAAAAATATCTATACAGATGGTAATCATGCATGTGACAACATGCTACACTTCCTATGTCATCACAGAAATTCAAATTAAAACAATAAGATACCACTGCACACCTATTAGAGTGGCTAAATGCAAATCACCAGCAACACCAAACTCTGGTGAGAATAGGGAACAACAGGAACTCTCATTTATTGCTGGTGGGAATGCAAAATGGTACAGCCACTTTGGAAGGCAGTTTGGCAGTTGTTTACAAAGCTAAATATAGCCTTCACATACGATCAGTAATCACACACCTTGGTATTTTCTCAAATAAATTTAAAAGTTACACCTAGGCAAAAACCTTCACACAAATGTTTGACAGTTGGCACATGTTTATAGCATAGTTGGCATAATTTGGTAGCAATCAAGATACTCTTCAGTAGGTATGGATAAACAAAACCGTGGTCTATCCTGACAATGAAATATTATTAGGCACTAAAAAGAAATGAGTTGTCTATCATGAAAGCACAGGGATAAATCTTACATGAATATT